AAAGGCTTTCGCAGAATTCAATAAACTGAATGAATCAAAATAGTGCTACTAACTATATGCTAAAGTACCCAGTCAAATTTTATATGAAAGTTGCATGGTCTTTGGCGACAACTGTGTGCCCGAAGAAAACATTACACTTGCTAACAAGAAAATTTATCTAGGCGGTAGGTCTTAGGACGACTTAAGAAGCTTTTGGGGCAGCTCCATTTATTAGAGGTCGAGTAGGCAGAGTACTCCCTTCTTGATCGCTTGGGTCGTATTCTAGAAGCCGCCGCGAAAGGGGAAAATCTACGAAGTAAAATCCATCTTTTGTAGATATTTCCATGCTTAATTTGGAAAGATTATTTGGCAAACATACGTTTTCAGCAATTCATCAGACCAGTTCACTTTCAGGGATAATTGATATCGTACAGTTGGACAGCGTTAATAAGGGTCCTTTGATTAACACCCATCGTTTTCACGCCGCACGCATGGCAAGGTCGGCCTACAAAGGTCCTTGCGCTGGGGAAGGGGAAAGGGGAGGAAATTGGGTCAGGTTGTGGACATTGGTCAGGGGTCAGCTACGTGGAGTGATAATTACTGTCACTTGTACGGAGTGAACAACTGTCACTAGGGCGTGGGGCGATATGCGATCGCCACCTGGCGTCGGCGTCAGCCACGGGAATGAAAGGGCTTGTGTAAGCGCTTCTGACAGCACAGCACTGGATTCGCTAGCCGTAAAGCCACTGCCTCGGCTGTTGCTAGCACCGGTTGGCGTAGGCCCTTGGAGAACATCCTGCTGACCAGACCAGACGAGGGGTCCGGAATAGTACTGATGGATAATAATGATTCTTTTGCATCGTAGCAGATCATACAAAGTTCTCAAAATCTGAGATTGACCGAAATCGGCCAGACGCTGTCGAGGGTCAGCTTACTACAATTATCAAAGTTCTCCACAAAGAATGTCCTTTACCTGACAAAGAGCTTGAAATATTGAGACCTGTTGGCACGACGATACCCAGAATGTATGGCCTTCCGAAAATTCACAAACGGGGGCTACCCCTGAGTCCTCTGTTGGATATGAGAAACTCCCCTTATCACACCATTGCCAAATAGCTGGTAGAAAAGCTGAAGCCACTTAAAAGTTACATATGTCCTAAAAGCTTGACAGACACATTTGAGTTTGTCGACGCTATAAACAATATGAATGTTGGTGGAAGGAAGATGCTCTCATTGGATGTATCATCACTTTTTACTAATGTAATCGTAGCAGAAATAATAAACTACCTCTGTGAGGTTATTCGGAACACAAACTACTAGCTAGTTATGTCCGTGAAACTCCTGAAAGAACTGTTTACGCGGTGTACACAAAATGTTCAATTCCTCTGCAATGGCTGGTTCTACAGACAGATAGACCACGTGGCGATGGGCTCACCACTTGACCCTTTTCTCGCAAATGTCTTTATTGGCAAGATTGAGAAAACGAGTCTAAGGGAGACCATCAATGATCTCGAATTTTACTGTCGATGCACGGATGACATCTTTTGCGAGACAGACCATAACACTGACGTCGACGTCGTGGTCAGGAAGTTTAACAGCGCGCATCCATCACTGAAGGTTTCTGCAGAGGCTAAGGTACATAATGAAACTGCTTTCATCGATCTCCTTCTACGAAGGCAAAAGGATGGATCTATCCAGCGTAGGGTATTCCGAAAAAAAAACCTAGACGGGACAATACATCAACTTTTACAGTTTTGTCCCCTAAATAGAAAACGAAATCTAGTCCAGGAATTAGGAGCTAGAGTACGACGGATCTGTTCTCCTGAAATTATCGAAGTAAAACTCCTGCAGTTGCCGAACACGCTTCTTGAAAACGGATACGCAGAAAGGTTCGTTCTCAGGAATACTGGCGAACGCATCAAAATTCCTGTTACCTTAACGGCAGAAAACAAAGACATGTTCATAAAACTTTCTTTGGCGGTGCTGCAAGCGAGCTGATAAGTTGACGTCTGAAGACTGCGATCGCTAGCGCTCTCCCCCGCCGCGAACTTACGCATGTTCTTCACGCACCCTCCTTTCCTATGATTGGAAGGTAAAGACCAACTACCGTTGAAGGCCGCATTCATGCGCATCTATTCTTCCACTTGCTCTTGTGGAGCAGGATATATTGGCCGAACAACGAGGTGCCTAGAAAGGAGAATACGCGAACACATACCGGCCTGGTTAGGAAGAGGCGAAACTAGATCGATCTCGAGTTCTATTCTCGCACATCTTGTCGACAGGAATCACCAAGTCGATACTAATGAAGCCTTTCAGATTGTCTACCGGACGCCAGCCAACTTCTCCAAGGGTCTGCGCCAACCAGTGCTAGCAACAGCCGAAGCAGTGTCTATACGGCTAGCGAATCCAGTGCTGTGCTGTCAGAAGACGTTAACACAATCCCTTTCACTCCCGTGGCCGACGCGGACGCCACGTGGCGATCGCATATCACCCCCACACTCTAGTGGCAGTAATTATCATTCCACATATCTGAACAATGACCAACGCTCTCAGTCTATCCCATTTTCCTCCCCTTTCCCCTACCCCAGCACAAGGACCTCCATACGCGAATCTTGCCATGCATGCGGTGTGAAAACGATGGGTTGTAATCAAAGGACCCTTTTAAACCCTGTCCAACTGTACGATTTTAATTATCCTTGCAATTGTACTGGCCTAACGATGAATTGCTGCGGTTAATTTAGTTGTCATCCGACGCCCAGGCTTCAATCAGTTCTCGGCCCGTCTTACCGCTTGCGTGGGCAATTATCCTGGCAGCTGCGAAGTTGAACTCGTGACCCGTCTCGTAGGTGTGGGCGGTCACTTGCGATAAGGCATGGCAGCGCATGCCATATATCAAGGATGTGTCGGAAGCGACCAAACGCATTGCCGCCGGAATAGGCGTTGGAATCGCACATCATCCCAAGGCTACAGTGCGCAGCCGGGTCATGAGGATCAAGGATCGACTAAATCCCAGTGAGCAGTCGAGTGTAGTGCATCGCATACCATGTTTATACTGTCCTGTAAATTACACGGGACGGACTGGACGCATGCTAGGTTCGCGCATACACGAACACAAGTCGGCTGTTCGACAGGGTGATGCATTATCGCAAGTTTGCATCGGGGAGGATAAATCGGAATGGGTTGACGTAGTTAGTGAGGTTCCTCAAGGCTCCGTTCTCGGTCCTCTAC